CGATGGGATGGGATGGCAGTGGAATGGGATGGATGGATGGATGCATGGATAGATAGATAGTTAGATTTTTTTGGGTATTTTCCTTTCAACCAAGCGGTCACCAACTGAGTAACGCCACTGATTTCCCCGGGCAACGCCGGGTATCCCTCTAGTAATACATGTAATACATGTTTTATTATATTAGTATTTAATATTTACTTTAACACATTTAGTATGTGATGTACCAAATGTGGTCTCTTGTTTGTACTTTTGACCCTATTTTTCAGGTGCAGTTCACCATTCCTCAGCTGACAGTATCTGGCTTAAAAGTAAATAGACTCGACATGTATGGTGAGGTAAGGATTTTATATATATATATCTATATATATATCATTGTTTCAAATATCAATACATGTACGCTTATTTTTAGTGGCATACTTGTTTACAGAGATGTACATTAAGCAGGGGCGTACCCAGACATTTTTTTATGGTACGCAAAATTACACTCAAATTTGTCAAAGTTGTTATTTTAATGAAATCCTTCCGACCATCTGGCGAAATGACACTGTAGTCATTATTCTTATCACACGCATAATTCTGTAAGCCCAACTGAACGTTATATTATTTTGTTTTAGTAATTAAAAGGTCATGTATTTTTTTTATTCTTAAAAATTTTAGTACGCATTTGCGTACTTTGCGTATAGGTAGCTACGCGCCTGTTAAGTGTAGCCACTTGGCTATATTATACTCTCAGAGCATATTGCTAAATACTTAAATGACTGCACCGGCCAAACTATTGCAAGGCAATCACCATGCAATGCTTGTCATGATGATTAAATATCATTATATGTATTTGCAGAGCACGGGGAAATCTCATTACGTCGTGCTCTGCAAATTGATATTGCGAAATCTCATCATTGACGTTATTGGTTACATTAGAAGAGACTCCGATCATTGGAGTCTCCAAGATCGGACGTAATACTAAGTGGTACCAATGTACTCAACGAGGTTATATGGGTATAATTCAATGATCGTTGTGACAACAACAAGATTTTGAGTTTGAATCTTTATATAGTACTCTATCATAGACTGTTCACCAGCATGTGTACTAATCGCATGATGCATAGGGCAATTACAGAGACCAGCCAGTATGTTGCCAGCTCAATCAGGTGTTTATATTTGTGTAAATCTGTTATTACAGAAATACAAGCCGTTCAAAGGAGTGAAGTATATAACAAAAGCAGGACGGTTTCAAGTGCGCACCTGAATCATGGGCACTCAAGTATGCAGTTGAGGTGAAAAGCCTCCTTTATACCTTGATGCATGTTCTCGTCTATTCATGATGCATAGACTGTGACAAGAACTGTATAAGGAATGTATATGTAATAGATCTGCGGCCCATTAAATCATCATGTGTTATTCGGTGTTACAAGTATTGGTAAAGAAACGAGCTGCATGTAATTGTATCCACCGAACGAGTTCGGGGGGGGGGGATACTATATGGATTTGGCCTCGTCGCGCCGCCGCCGCAGAGATTTCCTTGTGAGCGCTCTACCGGCTGCAGTTCTTCTCGGATCATCTTCAAATTTCGCATGAAGGCGCGTTATCGTAAAGCGAAGACGTCAATCGTTTGTGGTGTGGGCGGAGTCATCGTTGCCATGGTAACAACATTTTTGGTCGAAATTCTAGAACCTGTAACTTCTGCAGTTTTTACCCGATTGTCATGAAATTTGACACACAGGACCAATATATACATATATATATATAATTATATATAGGACATGTTATATCGGCCCTGTGTGCCAAATTCCATGACAATCGGGACAGCACAAGTTACAGGTTCTACAATATTTCCACAAAAATGTTGTTACCATGGCAACGATGACCCGCCCACACCAAAAACGATTGGCATCTTCGCTTTACCATAACGCACCTTGGCATCTTGGGGAGAAGGTGTGCACAGTACCAAAACCCAGGTCACTGCGACCTTCATTTCACCTTTACCTTGACCTTGATCCTATTTCCCTTCCGCTCTGTAACTCGCCCCCTAATTCACCTAGCGCTACCAAACTTGGTATACTTACACATCTTGGGGAGAAGGTGTGCAGAGTACCAAAACCAGGTCACTGCGACCTTTATTTGCACCTTTACCTTGACCTTGATCATATTTCCCTTCTGCTCTCCTAACTCAAGCCGCTAATTGACCTAGCGCGACCAAACTTGGTATGCTTACACATCTTAGGGAGAAGGTGTGCAGAGTACCAAAACCAGGTCACTGCGACCTTTATTTCACCTTTACCTTGACCTTGATCATATTTCCTTGGCTCTCTAACTCGCAGCCCTAATTGACCTAGCGGCGACCAAACTTGGTATGCTTACACATCTTGGGGAGAGGTCTGGTTGCATACCAAAACCACCACTGTTCTTGACCTTAGTTCGACCTTGACCGTCGACTTACATTTCCTCTTCGGTCTCCTAGGGTAACCAGATTCCATATACTTGCACATCTGAGGCAGACCAGTTGTCTAACAAACCTTTGTCTTTGTGACTTATTTAACTTTACCTGCCTTCTACGTCCTTACAGAGATATTCCATTCATACTAGATCACGGGGGATACATTAAGTTGGCGACAACTGCTCGTTTCTAGTTATTTATGCTGTGTATCGTTATGTTACATTATAACTCTTCAAATCGTAAAATTCTAGAAAGGATAGACAGTGTGTTCACATCCCTAAAGCCCGGCGCACATGTGGCGATTTTTATCGACAGTACTGGCGATTTTGTTGCCAGCAACAAAATCGCCGAGAAATCGCCACTTGTGCGCTGCACGGCGTCACCGATTTTGACGCCAGAAACTCGTCGCTGGAATATCAAACACGTTTGATATTTGTTGCCCAGTCGCTGAACAATCGCTACGTGTGCGCTGACCAGGCGATGGATTCAGGCAACAGTTTTTGGATTTACCAATCAAATGCATGATTTGAAGCACGTGATCAAAATTATGGCAGCGCCCGTGGTGTGGTTTGAACAGGTCACGTACAGTTCATACAGTGGTATGTCGCTGACAGATGGTTGCATTGTCGCTGGGTGGCGCACACATGGCAATTTTTATCGACAGTGTTTTCGATAAAAATCGCCGGTACTGTCGATAAAAATTGCCACGTGTGCGCCGGGCTTAAGTATCATTGTGTTGCCAAGGGTGGTTATTTGTTCAAGAAAATAAGTAAATTCTATATATATGTGTTATATATTTTGTTAAGTTTAAATGAAGTCATTTAAGGTCGAGTTCCATATATTACTGTGTTCTGAAATAGGTGAGCTAAAGATTTTGATCATTTTCTCATGGTGGGGATGTAACATGTGAACCTACCCTTGAATTAAGTATTCATTAAAAAATATTGGAACGGGTGTTTACTACTGCCAATCTGTCAAAAATTCCTCCAATCATGCCAATTGTGATATAGTTTGTTTTCCAATACTATTTCTGGTTGCCTGGTTATTCATCATACACCAACAGTGTGTTTGTCAAGTTATGCTAATTTTTAACTTGCAGTAGTGAGCATTACAAAATAGCAAATGTAGGCTTTTTTATGTTATATTGGAGAACTCAACAATTACGTGTGATAACTACACTCAATGTTTGTAGACTTTTTATGTTCTTTACTCTGTACCTGGTGAAATTCTGTAGATGGTGTTTGTTATCTAAAGTATAAATGTAATGCTAACGTTCAGGCATGAGTATAAGATATTCTAAAAGACATGTAGCGATTGCACAGGTACACTGCACACCAGTCTCTTCTGCTACTACTGCTGCACCACACGCATTTACTTCATTGCGAGAAAGAACCTGAACTAGGGTGAACTCCGAGCAGTGTGGGAAAAAGCAGTTCAACCTAGACACACTGAATGTATTACAAATTTTCAGGGCGTCGCTATCTCTACTTTTGATGAAAGTTATTGAGCCTGATAGTGAAATGGGAAGCATTCGTCTGAAGAATTGTGTTAAACTTGAACCTTGCATCGATGCAATGTGGCATCGATCTTGAGAATTATTTTGAAAACCAAAATCGAGGAAGTTCACCAATCAGCAGAAGATTCTCATGCTTGCAAAATTATATTGCTTTGTGTATACGCATGCATGCATGCACGCACGCATATTATCAGGAGTAAGATAATATAGATCTATATTATCTTACTCCTGATATTATCTATATAGAAAATACTAGACCATCATATTAATGCAATTGCTTATATCGCCTAATATTATTGCCGTTCAGAATGTGCTGTCTTGCAACTTCAATTTAGCCAGACATATATATATATCTGTACATAACTGTAATTGCAAGTGACTCTTAATGCTCATTTTGGATTTTAAATAATCCAAACGGTCTATAACAAATACTTTTTATTAGATGACTACAATTTTCGTGAAGCTTAGTGACTGCTGTTATTATTGTGTGGTAAGCTGTGTATGCGTTATAGTAACATGTGACAACACTGAATCTCCTCAAATATTCTCTTTGTTGAAAACAGTCTATAATGAATGTTGCCGTACAAGGTAGTCCTGCTGAATATTTCTACTAATGTAGTTTGCTTCAGCATGCACCTTTCTGGTTGATTTCGATGCCTGCTTAAATCTTGTAAATTCGTAGGAATGCGCGCATGTCCTGTTGTGGACTATCGTAGCATAGATTTACATCCTATGTTTGTACAACGTAGGAAACTAGTAAAATTGTTCTCCTTATAGCCATCTCTAATTCGAATTAAGGTTCTAAATTAATTATCTTTTTTATCACTGTATACGAGTTCATAAATTATTCATAGCTTATTTTCTAACCGGTGACACTCATTTTTTTTCATTCTCCTGTTGTTTTGCATGATCATGATTTGCAGCTAACGGAATGTATATAGCACAGTCATGAACATTTGTCCTAGGAAACACGGTAGTAACCTGGTATCAGGAGCAGATAAACTATATATGCGATTCTACGACAAATACCCCCCATGCCATTCACCCCCTGGACAATCACCCCCCCCCCCGGACATTTACCCCCGGACAATTACTCACTTGTTGTTTATTATTCATTGTTGAAAGCAGTGAATACAGGGAGGAGGTCGCAGGAGGGCGAGTAGGGAGATGGTGGAGTGTGGAGGAGAGGAGGAGGTGCGAGAACCGTGGGGAGAGAGTGTGGAGGAGCGGGAAGGGAGCAGGGAGAAGGTGAGGAGGAGGGGGGAGAAGGTGGTGGAGGAGGCGGAGGAGAGGAGGAGGGGGAGAGCGGTGGCAGGAGGAGTGAGAGAAGGGAGGAGGTAGCGGAGGAGAAGGGGAGAAGGTGGCTGGAGGAGGAAGAGAGGAAGTGGAGTCGAGGAGGGCTGGCCGTCTTACTCCTCCGTCTCCTCCTCCTCGCATCACATCTCTCCCTCCTCCTCTCTCCTCCTCCCTCACCACCACCTGCACCTCCTCTATCCTCCTCCTGCCTCTACCTTCTCTCGTGCGTCTCTAAGCATCCTCCTCTACCAATGTCCGGGGGGGTGTAAATATGGGGGATGATTGGCTCCGGCGGGGGGGGATAAAATCGGGTGAAATGGCATGGGGGGTATTTGTCCTGATACCATATATGCATAGTTCATGTTCACTTGATACTATAAATGTATTTATTGTAAAGCTGGTCTTCGCATTGGCTTTTCCATCTATTGTTTTGTATTGTGTGATACACATTGTTTGGTTTTGCCCTCAAACAGAGTGTTATCGATCACTCTAATGTTATTTTATCATGATTAATGGTTATCGTGATGATACACTTACACATTACTTGACAAAAATAGCTAAGGAAAACAAACGACTTACTCATTTGTAGATAATAAGTGGCAACGTTTTGTATTTGATCAACTCCACTGAGTAGCAGAATAAACTTCATAATGCAAAGCTTGAAAATGCAAAATCATTCCTAGGAGATATAGAAAACTAGATTAGCTTAGAAAATCAAAAAATCAATAGATAGTTGCTGATGTTTACTATCACCACAACTTATGCTACCAATGCCACAATGTGCCAATTAAAAGGATCATGTGCGATTCCAAGTGATAATAATGGGAACATTGCAAAAATTAATATTTACTGATATTAATGTAGCGTACGTACTCTGCAAAAGACTGAACGTATCTACCTGTGTTTCAAAGATGTAAAATAGCAATGAGATTCACATCAATATTATAGAAGACACCACATGGAAAGATGCTTTAATCATGCGTACACCTATTATGAACCGTGTATGGTGTATTCGTAATAATGATGCTGATTCAATGCAATCAAGTGCTGTTTTGCATAAATAGAGCTTGTATTGTAAATGTATATTCACAAAAGATTTTCTTGTAAACCTAGCACTGTTCTCCATCTAACAAAGAATCAATGATATTTTCAGCTCGAATCGAAATTAGAACTATGCACAAACAGAAGCAACAAGTAAGTCCAATTAGGCTTAAATGCAACCTTAACATACGTATAGCATAGTATTATTTGTACATTGTACTTTAATTTCAGAAAGCAGCCTGTTATTAGACAAGTTATTAAATCAACCATCTACCTGACATAGTAAGACTGCATTGATTGCCAGTATGGCACACTTCATATATACCTATATACATGCTAGATTATTATGTACTTTACACAAATTTACATAGGATTTTTGCATTTAAACTAGTGCTGCTGAATGTTTTATCATATTTCTTAAAGTAATCTTGGCTGCACAAAATCCATATTCAGCAATGTACTTTATTACTGAAGGAATGATTCGATTTGCAATTTGTTCTATTATGTTTAGACGGTGGTGATAAAGTCAGCATACAAAAGTGAATGTAGCCTACCAAAAACCAGTCTTACTATTAGTAATTCATACCAGAGATACTATATTAACTTCTGAAAGAACATTCATTAATATGACAGTTAATGAGTACAGAAACTCATTAAGACTAACATGACAATATCGTAAAAACACTAACTGTTCACGACGTTATATGTATAAATGTTTTCTTTTTACATCGATAATAAAAATGGCTTTAACATGGCTTGTTTATGCAGCTGCTGATGACGATGACAATTAAATCGAATTGCCACTTTCGTCTCTTATCCCTTATTCACATATATACTGCAGACATCTAGCCCGGTGGTTGCACGATGTGGCAACTACCATGCTACCAGCAGGGTAGTGAGTAAGCAATAATCACATGACTTTGTTATCGCACACGACCTTACTACATGGTTGAAGGTCACAACCGATAACGTGTCCATACTGCCTCGCTGACACGGCATCAAGATTTGTCACGGCACTACGAATATTTCACGTGAATTGCGGCTGCCCACAATAGCTACAACCTTTGCACGGAGATCAAGTCATCACACGCACGACTCACACGTGTGCAAGGCGAATGCCAGTTAGACAGCAAGAGCGTCGCAACATTAACACCACTCAAGTTAGTCCCTCTAACGACGGTCTCTCTGCCGCACTTGCGACATCTCAGGATGATGGATCACGCATCACCACAAACACCAGGATTCACCATGATGCATGACCTCAGTGATGTGCCGAGGCTTCCCGCGATGAACTGCTGTCATGCTTGCTACATTTTGCAGAGCTCACGCTTCTGTGGTGTGTAGACAGTGGCTTCCTAAACAGATAGATTGGCCTCTTGTATCCTGTAAAGAAATAAGAGGACATAAATTGGCAGCTCTCATCTGTGTGCTTTATTGAGTTCGTATTATTTAATTTTATTGTGGTGAATTTGTGAATGCTATTGAGCAATTATTTCCATTTGATCTTGTAACATAATTAGTACTGCCCACACAAACTTCACATCACCAACGTTTTTTTTAAATTCCAATTATGATAGCCAACCATAGCTGGCAGCAGGAGTGCCTATGCATGAACGCTGCACATGGACAGCACTCATACATGACTAATAAGCAAGTATACACAAAGTAAATGTAGGACTGCACACTTATACATAGGTTGAATACATTCTAAAATATTTATTTTATTTTATTTAGACCTCATAATTATTAATTGCTACGGTGTAGCAGAATATTAAGTTGCAGGAAATGCATAGCTGAATATGTACTAATATGCTAGGCAAGTTCATTTTAACTTAGCACAGGTACTTAATTACCTTTAGCTGGGTTACACGGGCAATCTACAAGCTCGCAAGTTGAGAATCCAACCTCGTTTGACAATAGGTATTCGCTGTACTGATCAGGCCGCATTCGAATCTTGCTGTAGTTTGTGCGTGTTTTATCCTATAACATGAAATAATCAACAGACTGATCACTGGGTCCACTGTACATATTATTATGCATAGTTGCCATTGCATATATATATTACCAAGGGTATAATAAGCGATATTAGTCTTAACAGACACTTGATATTAAATATATTTGTAGAGGTTGTGTAATCGCTTGTGTGATTATTTGGATTAGGGAGGCCATTTTTTCCACTGAACAAATCAAACAATTAATCAAACAACACTAACTCTCCTACAATCACACACGTGCCCAGACTGACATACATACGCAACTGCGGACATGCGTTACACAATTACACTCACTGATGTATTCTTGCTCTTCGCATAAGATGGCCAGCCCTGAGCTTCCATGATGAGATGACCTCCAGGCCTAAGTTGGGCGTAAATGCGCTTAAAGGTGCGCTTCAAACCATCATCACCCCAGTTCAGGTGAATCCACTTTGTTATACTCAGCATAATGACTGTGTCAACTTCAGGCCTCTGTGTCTCCAAAAGCAAGTTGCAACTTAGCACGTAGTTCTCCTGAAATAAAGATTTTTACGATGTTAGCACAACAGGCTTAAATGATTACTGGTTTGCCTAACCTCATCTAGACTCATGGGGCCAGATAGGTAGGTGGTCAAATCGTCTTGGCATTTTGCAGCAATATTATAATCATCTACACTGTAATAAACCTTTAAAAGGGAAAGAACTGTCAGATTACATCCCAAACAATACACTCTTACAACAAGTAATTTATTCTTTGAACTAAAACTTCAGTTGGCACGATGTCGAGTAGACGATTAGGTTTGAGCAAAGAAAATCTTTTAATGGTAGCCCGATGATAAATTGAATTCAATTTCCTTTAAGCACCTAAATATTTCATACCTCTCGAAAGGTAACGTTGTTGGGAAACCTCACAGCGCTTTTTTCTGCCGCATAAGCCACACCAATCGCTCCGTATGTCGACATCATGGAGGTCGGAAAAGCTGCTATCCGAGGATCACGCATGGTCACTTTTCGCCGGAGATTCTTCTGGGCTACCTTGACGAGTCTCGGGTCGATATCAATTCCAACGACGCTTCTTGGCTGCATGTGTTCGGCCACGTGTAGCGCAACATGGCCCGTGTTGCAGCCGACATCTATGACATCCTTGTCCCTAAACCACTCCTTCCGGAAGGCTCTTAGCCGACGGTCACCGTCCTCTCCGTACACGAGCCGTGCATGATTTCCGTGCAGGAAGGCGTCCTTCTTAGCGAGGGTCGGTAGTACACTGATGGTTGCCGGCTTTCTACCATCCGCTCCATGTGACTTGACTGTGCTAGGCTGCTTTGAAAAACTACTGCTGTAGTGCTTGCGACGCTTTACCTTTGGTGATACCGAGTCCCCAGGTGCCGATTTCGAAACCAAAACTACAGGTGACACTATCGTGTCGGCTACTTTTTGGTGACCATCCGGCAACGCATCTTGCTTGTTCAAGGATGTGCTGCCGCTCTTCCTCTTCTTCTTATATTTCCACAGTGCCTTTGTGTCACTTTGCACAGCTGACTGTAAATTCTCAGTCAAATCCAAATCAGTAGAAATCCTTTGTTCGCTACTAGCGGCACTAACACTTTCACACGCTCTGACTGCCTTATTGACATCAATAGCAACATCCTGTGATATATTAGCAGTAATACCAGTAATACTTTTACTCTCAGTTGCTGCAACAAGACAATCATCTCCTTCACTGATTGTCCGTCGCCGTTTATTACGTTTCTTGTTCTTCCTTTTTTTCATACTCCCTGTCTCACCATGCTGTGAAGTCGTTGCACCCGTATCGCCATCTTCCCCGGCATTTAAATTGAGTGGATCATGAATGTTTGGTGGTATTATGACTTCCACAACTTCTTTCCTGTGTGCCGGCGTCGGCATAGGTGATGACTTTGGTGTGACTGCATTCAAAAGACGATTCACGTCTTCATTGTTTAGGCTGGCAAGATTTAGAGGATCTCTCACATTACCACCAAGAAGGAAGCGACTGCGATTAGCTGATGTGGATTTGCCAGCTGCCATCTTTCGGCCTGCCAAGAACCTCTGAGCACCAGTTGTTTTGTAATTTGAAGGCGGACCAGTACTGTATCGCCGTTTGCGGGTTTGCAAATACGGCGTTCCATGTCCAACCTCAGTGCTACACTCTGACATGTCCTTAAACCTTACACAGTGATATGTTCTTTCACTGCTATCTGTCACAGGAGTAGAGGCACAGTTTGTATCCTGAACTACTATTTTAGCCGACATGATCCAGATATTTAGTGTCAAACTTCTGCAATGATAAAATCATACAGGTATTACAATTTCCCATTTTGCCAATAGTGCATTGCTAAAATAATAACTCATCTTAGCAAATGAGTACTAAACTATTAGTAGAGCCACTAATTAGCTAATTAGTACTAAACTATAAGTAGAGCCACTAATATTTTAATACACGGGTTTCGGTTGCATGTCCCGTGTTTAAACAGTTCCATTAATTGACATTTGAGTTGTTGAACAACCATAATCCTCACTCTTAGTCTTATGACAGGTTTTGACTTCTGGTTTCCCCTTCATTATAGACCCATACCAGTACACATTCACATCAAATTATTTTTAATGCAGACCTATATAATAACATATTTAACTGCTATCGGGGTAATGCAACACACAATTTCACTGTGCACGCAAGCCACTGTGCACGAACTCACACAAATATGACATTTTTTGTGAGATTGGGCAAAGTGACATGCGTGTGTTGGAACTGTGTTGTGCAGACAAGCCCTTGAACAGCCTTCACTTGGAGTTATTAGACTACAAAGGGTGAACGCACATTAAGCAGGGGCGTGTACAGGATTTGTACCAGGGGGGGAGGGGTCTAACCGTAACCCAAACTTGCAAGCACATGAAGGGGAGTCTGGGAGGCCCTCCCCCAGAAATTTTTGAAATTAGACCCTCTTAGATGCATTTTCTGCGCGAGCAGGGGGGGTCCAGACCCCCTGGACCCGACCCCCCCCCCCGATTATGGTTGGAGATTTTTAGGGTTTTTTTTTGGTTTTTTGTATTTTTTGTATTTTTTGGGGTTTTTTGGATTTTTTGGGTTTTTGGATTTTTTTTGTATTTTTTGTATTTTTTGGGTTTTTTGGATTTTGGATATATATCTGCGATCTCTCTCCCTCCCTCCTCCCTCCCTCTCTCTGTGGACCCTGCGCTCTATATGCCCATCGTGATTGAACTGTTGTATGCAATGTGACTGTGCCAGGTTAGGAATGAATTGAGAATAAGACAGACATGATATTGCGTATAAATCCAAAAAAGGCCAAAAAATGGAAAATCCAAAAATCCAAAATCCGAAATGTCTGTGTTATTGTGAATTCATTCCTAACCTGGCACAGTCAGATTGCATAGAAGAGTTAAGGCGCTAACAAAACTACCATATACGCCAC